CAGAGCCCATAAGATCGAAATTGTTTGGCTACAGTAATTCTTGCTGTCTATTTTTAGTGATTTGATGGCTCTGACGAGCTCAAAATTTACTTTTTACGCTAGTGCGTCAGCTGAAGCGACTACAGAGCCCATAAGATCGAAATTGTTCGGCTACAGTAATTCTTGCTGTCTATTTTTAGTGATTTGATGACTCTGACGAGCTCAAAATTTACTTTTTAGGCTAGTGCGTCAGCTGAAGCGACTACAGAGCCCATAAGATCGAAATTGTTCGGCTACAGTAATTCTTGCTGTCTATTTTTAGTGATTTGATGGCTCTGACGAGCTCAAAATTTACTTTTTAGGCTAGTGCGTCAGCTGAAGCGACTACAGAGCCCATAAGATCGAAATCGTTCGGCTACAGTAATTCTTTCTCTCTATTTTTAGTGTTTTGATGGCTCTGACGAGCTCAAAATTTACTTTTTAGGCTAGTGCGTCAGCTGAAGCGACTACAGAGCCCATAAGATCGAAATCGTTCGGCTACAGTAATTCTTTCTCTCTATTTTTAGTGATTTGATGGCTCTGACGAGCTCAAAATTTACTTTTTAGGCTAGTGCGTCAGCTGAAGCGACTACAGAGCCCATAAGATCGAAATCGTTCGGCTACAGTAATTCTTGTTGTCTATTTTTAGTGTTTTGATGGCTCTGACGAGCTCAAAATTTACTTTTTAGGCTAGTGCGTCAGCTGAAGCGACAACAGAGCCCATAAGATCGAAATTGTTCGGCTACAGTAATTCTTTCTCTCTATTTTTAGTGATTTGATGGCTCTGACGAGCTCAAAATTTACATTTTAGGCTAGTGCGTCAGCTGAAGCGACTACAGAGCCCATAAGATCGAAATTGTTCGGCTACAGTAATTCTTTCTCTCTATTTTTAGTGATTTGATGACTCTGACGAGCTCAAAATTTACATTTTAGGCTAGTGCGTCAGCTGAAGCGACTGCAGAGCCCATAAGATCGAAATCGTTTGGCTACAGTAATTCTTTCTCTCTATTTTTAGTGATTTGATGACTCTGACGAGCTCAAAATTTACTTTTTAGGCTAGTGCGTCAGCTGAAGCGACTACAGAGCCCATAAGATCGAAATTGTTCGGCTACAGTAATTCTTGCTGTCTATTTTTAGTGATTTGATGGCTCTGACGAGCTCAAAATTTACTTTTTAGGCTAGTGCGTCAGCTGAAGCGACTACAGAGCCCATAAGATCGAAATCGTTCGGCTACAGTAATTCTTTCTGTCTATTTTTAGTGATTTGATGGCTCTGACGAGCTCAAAATTTACTTTTTAGGCTAGTGCGTCAGCTGAAGCGACTACAGAGCCCATAAGATCGAAATTGTTCGGCTACAGTAATTCTTGCTGTCTATTTTTAGTGATTTGATGACTCTGACGAGCTCAAAATTTACATTTTAGGCTAGTGCGTCAGCTGAAGCGACTGCAGAGCCCATAAGATCGAAATTGTTCGGCTACAGTAATTCTTTCTCTCTATTTTTAGTGATTTGATGACTCTGACGAGCTCAAAATTTACATTTTAGGCTAGTGCGTCAGCTGAAGCGACTGCAGAGCCCATAAGATCG